TAATCATTTCAGAAATGAAGACGTCTTTTAATTTGCTTGAAAATGCTCTTTATGTAGTTTCCTAGTTATAACAATAAACACTTTATACATTTTAACTGAAGCCCACCGATTATATTTATTTCAAATTTATATTTACCCAAACGAATAAAATCAGTGTAGAATAAAGTATTTTATCAACTAAGTCTAATTTTATCTTATCTAAATCCCACTGCATATATTTATTTCAAAATTTATAATTACTCAAATGAATAAAATCAGTGTAGAATAAAGCATTATAACAAATTTTAGTCCCCTTATATTTTAGTGTAACTACTCAATAGGAAACTATTCAACTCAGTATGTAGAATTATTTACATCTATTCCTTATTCATATGCATTTCTGCAATTCTTTTAAATTTTTCAAGCAGAAAGAAATTCTTGTATAGACATGAAATTCTGGTTAATAAATTCAAAATATATGGTATTTAGACCATTCATTTGGTATTTTTTCCGTTCACATGGTTCTTCTGGTTTCCAAAATTATAGTTCTTATTACCACAGATGTAGCAGAAAATACAAAACTTAAAAGTAAATTCAACCAAATAAATAAGTTTTATGTCATGCTCTAAGTTATCATGACAAAATAGCGAAATTTTCCACATTTACCAAATTTTTTCACATATTATAAAACCATATTTTGTTACTCGTTTTACCAAATTCATTACCAAAGTGCTTTGGTACATTACCAAAATTTTTGGTGTTCCCATCACGCAAAAAACATGTTAAATTTTTTCTATATTCTGGTAGTTTGATATTACTTTTTTTCTTAGTGTTTCTATAAAAATAATCTTTTAGAGACGAATATTTTCTGTTTGAAATACTTAAAATATTAGTTACACTAGTAGATTTTGCTTTTCCAAATCTTTTCTACGTAAATAAATGACATTTTTTTTTGTTGATCAATTAATATTAACTGATTTATTTGGTTCATTTGCATTTAGTCTATAGATTTTGGAACATATACTAAAGAAAATACGAAATGAAAAATTAAAAATCAATTTTACATTGAATTTTTATGAAATGTTACATTATTTTGAGATCAGACAAGGATTTTAATATGCGAATTTTTTTAAAGTAATCATACACCGACGAAGATTAATCATAGTTTCAAGACTTATTAAGTATTTTTAAAAGCTAATATAGCTTCTAAAGTAAGAAACTTTTTGATGGAACTAACCCGCATTTGCGTTGCATGGAGAGGAAGACCACGTGAACCTCCCACGGTTAGCCAGACTGCAAAAGGACTCTAACCCATGATCTGTCTACCACTGAGGATATTTCACGTCAGCACTGTGATCGGTGCAAGTCGGATGCGGATTCGTATCTACCAGCCATTGGTGGGATTCGAACCCGGTTCAACTCACTGGAAGGTGAACGCTCTATCCCCTGAACCATCACGGCTCAATGTATGCTATTTAAACAATTCATTGGTAATTCTTTTGTTCATATATGGTAACATTTTTCCGGAAATTCTTACTTTTAAAATCATAGTTCTTACTACCGCACATTTTTAAAAAAAAATACAAAACTTAAAAGTAAATTTAACCGAATAAATGGTTTTTATGCTTAATGGCTCTAAAATATCATGATAAAATATCAAATTTTAGCATATTTACTAAATTTCATCACTTATTATAAAAGTAAATTTCGTTTTTCTTTCTTCCTTTTTTATTCCAAAATCATTACCAAAGTGCTTGCATCGAGCTTTCTGGTGTTCCCATAGAGTCAGAAACACGTACCATATTTTGGTTGTTTTGACCATTCTTTTTTTCAGTTTTATTATATACATATACATANATCACTATTTTAGTATTTTGTCGAAAGCGCTTTTTTCACGAATTTATGTATAACGAATTTATTTGGCGATTTTCGATTTATATCACGAATTTATTTGTTTTATCACAAATTTATTCTAAGACTTATACTTATGTTTTTAACAAAGTTGTGAATCGTTCATGGTTATAATTTTTTAAAAATGAAATGTTTATATCCATTGCAATTAACTTAATTCAAATTTTAATAGACTTAATTATAGACAAAATTTTAACCTTTTTAAAGAGATATCAGCTTTAGAAATTTTGTCTTAAGATTTTATACTATAGCACATTTCCAATAGGTTTAACGAATTACATGTCATTTATTTGAATTCAAATTTATTTTAATGACTTAGTATTTACTAAAATGATATAATTTGTTTTTAAAAAAAAGTTTTTACATGGATTTGAATGATTGTTTTGAATTCTTTGAATTTTGTGCATTTGCAATGTACCTAAGTTAGAAGCGGGCGAAGCGAGATTGGTTTGCGAAGCAAACTATATAAGATTGCGTAGTAATTTTCGGGGATTGGCGAGCGCTAGCGAGCAGGGGGCCCATCCCACTAGTACCTTAAATTTTATTATAATTTAATTTTTATCAAAATTTATTTTTGAGCTTATCAACAAAATTTAATTTCGTTTTCCAAAAATTTAGAATAAAAATAACATCATTTCTGATTATATATTATTATTACTTAAAAGTTTAGGCTACGTAAAGCTTTATTTTTTTAATGCGAATCTTATATTTATTCAGGCGCCATGGAAATTCAGAGAAAAATAAATAGAGCTGTATTTCTTTATGTATTTCTTCAACTGTATTTCTTTCCCATTAAAATGGTGTTTAAAATGTTCTTTGTTGGCCCGTCAGGTACTATATATAAAAAATAAATATTATTTACGCGAAGACTGTATTTAAATTAAACGACAAATTATTTATATAGTAAAGAACGTTTCAAAATTGTTCAAAACACACATTATAGTAATGAATATTTACCTTTCAAAACTTCTGTTCATAATATAGTTAAAACTGTAGAGACAAAGAATTTTCATAGAAAATAAATAGTATTTTTTTGAAGTAAATAAACATAGTAGTTCAAATCTATTTTTTCATATGCTTTTAAATCAAATACAGAACTTTTTCTTTGGCTGATACTTTGATTTAAATAAATGGAAAAAAAAGTTTAAAAAAAATTGAAAACTGATGATGCAGAGCAAATTTGTGTGTAAGTTATTCTCCAAAAAGTAATCAAATTTTAAATATGATTTGTTTCAAATAAATCTCATAAGAGTTACTAGATTTTTTCCCCTTTTGTATTTAATAAAGTTATCATAAATGCTTAGCAGTCGTCTCTATTCTTGGTTAGAGTATTATTCATTTATTTTTAAAGTTTATTTGATGCTTTAAAATAATATCTTCATACACAACACTTAGGTAGTAATGTTAGTATAAACTTAAATCTTTCTGAGTTCCTGAGAATAAATGCAAGCAAAAGGACGTAAACTGAAGAAGATAAAGCTTTATTAAAAAATAATTGAAGGAAACGTTAATAAAGGATAAAATGCTTACAATTTAATAAACTGCAACGATGTCAACCGATTTAAATTTTCTACTGTATTTGCTATTTGCATATCACCTAGTTTTATAATTTCTGGCACATATATTGCAAAAAGTGTTGTATTAATAAAAGTGACTGGGTTGAGTTGTATAAGTCAATCCAGTATTACTCCAGGAATGGAATTGAAGTAACTGTCAGTTTTGGATTATTCTGTGAACTCACAAACGGAAAAAAAATATTTTTATTGAAATAATGTTTCACCAAGCTCCCCCACCTAAAACAAAATTAGATATCCAGCTTCTCCCAACAATTTAGTATTTCAAAATCAATTCTGTCCACTGCTAAAAATATGAAAAATTTTGCATTTGATGCTGCAAAAAAAATTTATTTATTAGTTATTATTAGTGACAGATAATAAAAGTTAGTTACCATTAGTGACTGATTATAAAAGTACTTTGACTTGCAACTGAATTTTCGAAATATCTATACACATTTTTCAAGGGAAACGTAGTAGCATTCATTAATAAAACTAAAAGTAAAATTATTAATTTTGATAACTAGTAATCTTATTCTAAATTAAAATTTTAATATCTGCTTTTACAGATTACAATATTATTGAATTTAAGTAATAACTGTCATTAAAATTTCAAGAAAATGTAAGATAAATACAAAAAAATAATGTAAGAAATTGATATAACTTTCGAGAAAAATGTTTGTATCAAATTATTTATTTTAGTTTTTTTCTATTTTCTAAATTTAAGAATCATATGCGAACAGGAGTTAAAAATGTTTCATTTGTTTTAATTACATATATATTCTTTAATATTAGGATCTATTCATCATAATTTTTTCTGACAAGCATGTATTTTGTTAGATTTCTATGGCATAAAAATATTTAGTAACGTTATTTCTTTACAATTTTTAATAAATTTAGTGTGTTAAGAAATGTTTGCTAATACCTTGTAATATGGTTTATAAAATGTTGTCTGTTAAACATAATATACTATTAAAAAATATACTTTCCTTAAAATTCCGTGAAATTTTTTATTTTATTATGATATTACGTGTAATAGCGTAATATTAAATTTTTGACATCTGAATTTATTACACTTTAGTCATTTAATTTTTTACTAATTTTATTGAAATAAAATGCTTAGCAAATATTAAAATTTTTCATAGCAAAATAAATATATATTTGTTTAGAATTACTCATTTAAATGAACAGTGTACATTTCTTTTGATGCATATTAAATCAGGCACTTTTTCTACATATTATTGCCATACATTCTCACATTACAAAAAAATATTAAGGGAAAATCTTTACGCGAAGAAAGATTATTCAGCGTCTTAAATGAATAATTTTATCTTTTTCAAATTTATGTGATTGCATTGGTATGGTAGTCGGAATTAACAAAAACATTGGGAATACATATCAATAAATTAAAAAGTAACGTTGAAATGACAAATACATATTTCATCTTTTATTTTTATATATCTTCCCCAATTTATGAGGTTTATTAATTATGTGTTTTTTTTATTTTGAATTGTATGAAAATAAATCAAGAAATTATAACCATAAACAAACACTTACCCCTCTAAGTTGATTCCAGCATCTTAGCTGGTTAGGAGGGATAAGATAAACTCAAGATACCACATGCATATACTTCCTCGATTTGTCTTATCTGATATTATCTGTCCTATTCACGAAAAGAATTTTCATCGAATAAACTGTGAAGTTACAGCTTTCAAGGACTTTTCAACGCCAAGTAACTTAAGAATGCACTGGCTATTTGAAAAGCTGACCACTGCACACACTATTTTTAGGAATGTCGACAAAAGTTTGTTGTCAAGTTGCACAGTTTATTTGGAGTAGGAAGAAAATGAATGCTTCTTACCCAAACTGATGAACCTACTCTGCTGGTGAGCCCGCTGTTCAGGGGTTGCCTTCAACGTTTGGCGGGAAAAGCTGCATGCCAAGTGAGATATGGCGCTGAATTGTCAATCGCTGATGATTTTTATATCTAACTGCTCTCCATGCTCGTTTTGGAGATCGAAATCATTATATTTACTACATTTGTTTTGAAATTTCATTCCCATTTTTTTCAATTTAATTTTTTTGTAAACTTGAATAGGATACTTGTTCTGTGGATATGTTTTAAAAAAAAGGAAATATAAATTATATTTACTGGTAAATTCGATATACATTCCTAAACTGTCGCAAAAAGAAGTGCGAATTGTGTGGAGTAATTGAAAAACGTAATAAAACGATTAAATTGAGGTGATAATAAAAATAATATAAATAATTTGCATAAGAAGTAGCGAAAAATTGCGTCTTATAGTGTTAGTCTTGTAGTGAAATGTTTATCCTTATGTATTTTTGAATAGGGTGATAAAATGAAAAATGATATCAATAAAACTAATTTCTAGTTTTTTAATATTTGGAAGATTTGAAAAATTAACACTGGCAACGATAGTGAGTTTTTAGTAAATATTATAGCTTAATGTATTCGAAATCTAAATATTTATTTGACAAATAAAAAAAACTATTAATTTCCATTGATTAGAAATAATTAAGCGGGAAATCATTAATACTTGAACAATCACTGTCATTATAAAATCGGAATTCTAAAAGTCAGTTTTATTTTATTTCAATTAAACTCTTTCTAGCTTAAAAAATCAGCATTTTTTTTAAATTCTTGGAACAGTCAATGATTATTTGCTTTTAAAAAGGATTATCTCATATAAAAATATTTTAAAAATACAAAATGTAAGCAATATTTATGAAAAACTCAAAATAATTAGAAAAGGAAGGTCAATATTTTTCTTTAACTTTTGTATTACTAGCACTTTATAAAAATCTTGATTTTATCTAGGAGTATAATTAAATTTTTAATAAAAATAACAATAAAAAAATATTAAAATTATGTTAAGACATATTAATATATGATATTAAGTTAAAAGAATTCAGAATACTTACTAATATCTGCTTATATGGTATTTCCAAAATGTTTTTTGATGCAAATTTTTTTGTGCATTTATTCTACTTTTTAGAACTGCAATTTTGATGTTTTGTACTTTTAATATTACAACAAAAATATTTTTGAATGATTTCAATATGTAATAGCATTATTTAACTTGAGGTTTAATAACTTTTTTTCTTTTTTTAAGAAAACTAATACTTTCTTTTTCAAACTTATTAAATAGTATCTATCGCAATCTATTTATTAACTACTAAACACAATCTTTACTAAACACAATCTATTTATTTACTTTCAGCCGTTTAAACTATCATTTACGATTTTTTATGCATATAAGACTACTATAAACTTTAAAATATCTGGTAAAATAAAATTTGGCTCAGTTATTGATACAAAAGAATTAACTTTGACGGAGTTTACTTTAAATGGTATTCTCTTAAATAATTTGATTCAAGCGCCACGATATTTATTTAAGCAGGAAAAAAGAATTGAAAAACAAAAAAAGGAAAACCAGTGTAGATAATGCGATAAAATAAATTACATGCGTCACATACACTCTTAGCGAAAGCTACTGGATTTATATACTCTTTCCTGGTCATTCAAATCATAATGATAACACCAGAGATAGACCAATCCGGATTAGAGTCCTCTTTTCATCTGGCTTATAGAAGGCTTTCTTAATCCAGTGAGAAGTAATATAATTGCGGTTTAATTCAACCTAAAAAGCCATCGATACCTAAAAAGCATTAAGTACAAAATCAATTTTTACTTAATGCTGAATTTGAGAGCTCAAGCAATTTTTTAACCAGGTAAAAAAGTACTTCAGGCTACAGAGCTGAGCACTGACCAGGGCAAATCTGATTTTTTTTAATGCAAAAAAAAATAATTACATTTTAAATAATTTTTTCTGTTTAATTATATAATGAGTCAACTTACCCTAAGAAATCCATCACTAATAATGTATAAACCTTTTTGCTTAAGACTGACCCATTCCCGCATGGGGCATCCGGGGATTTAGTTTAAATACATTAAACTACTGAGTTCCAAGCATGTTGGAGGTGAATATGTAAAAATGTTTGAAAAAATTTAACAGTTTGAACAAAATGACCTACAGAAATTGAATATTTACAGTTGGATAGATGTCTCAGTCTACAAAGCGTTTATGATATCGAACCGGATGAAAAGCAGTGAATAATCACATATTGTGCTATCAAAGTGGAATAAATCTCGTAGGCAAATTTTCAGTGGCGCCATCTATGGCGAAGATTTCAACTTCTGCCACGCTATACGTCACACACGATTATTCCCATTTATTCATCCGCAAATTGCAATTTTCACATGAACCGGAGAATGATCAATCTCCAATTCAGAACCCTCAGAGATATAATATGTTTTGGGAACATGGAGGACTTTTTGACCCGACAGATTTAACTACTCGGCATTTACATTACTCGGCAGTAGCTCAGCAGTTAACTACTCGGCAGTAGCATTTACTACTCGGGGAGTATTCGGCCGGCTGGATTCGAACTACCGTTCTCACGAACGTGAGACCAGTGACCAGTGGCTATCTAGACCCTAACGAAATGAAGTAACAGATGTAAATAATTCGTCAAAGTTAAATGATGAAGAAATGAGTTGTATTTTCAAAGTTTTGAAAATTACAGATGTAAAAAGAGGCAAACATATTGATTGAACACTCACAGATAAACAGAAAACTTTACAGATCATCAAAAAAGTCTATTATTTTATTTGTGCTCAAATATATTTAATTCCTTATTTAGTTGTTCAAAATGTTTCACATAATTTAAGCTCTTAATATTAACAAATAAAAAACTGAATGACAAATACCATAGTCAAACCTTTCTCTATATATGTACTTCTAAATTTTAAAATTATTTAGAATGTTTCATTTAAATCTTTCATGAAATAAAATTGAAGTTTATGTTGGTTTTAATCAATTTGGCTTTTTAAAAGTCCCTCCATTATAACACCCTATGTATACCCATTGACATTTCTTAATTTACGTACCAAAATATTTTAAGATTGGAAATGATTAGATTGCTTTGGAAGGTCTTTCTCTGTTCTCTTTAAATTTCTTTACAGCTGAGTAGTGTATGTTCCAGGTTCTCAATATTATTACAAGTATTGCATAAGTTAGGTTTGCTCAAGAATCTGTTTTGGTGAGATGCATGAAAGCCCTAATTTGTCAGAAATTTACTCGTGCAAGAGTTACCGAGAGTTTTTTTAAGATTGATCATTAGTATCAGCTGGTTAGTGTGGTGACCTTCTATTTTAGGATTGTACCAATTACTTTACCACGTTTCTTTTACTCGGTCAAGCTGATTTTTCGTTTTGCTTTCTCAGTTGGAAGTTCGTTAAGATCTTTTATTGGCCATTATTAGGCTAACCTTAGTGTCTGTAGTAGCTAGTCTGTGGACCTACCTTAGTAGTAGTAGCTAGTCTGTGGACCTTATCGTTGTCCCTAGTACCACAATGCGTTTTTATAAAGTTTAATTTTTAATTGTTTATAAATAAGAAAGCTCGGATATTTATAAAATGATGCATAGAGTTTCAATTATATAAGGTTAAAAAAATAAATGCATTATATTTTGTGTATTGAATGCGTACGTTATTTAACTTGTATATGATTAAGAACTAGGGTCTTCTTTTACTAGGCAATACAAGTTTTTTATTACAACCATTAGTTTTGTAGAAAGAATATAGTTCAGTCTACGATAGCATATCTGCCTAACCATATATATCACTGGTTCAAAACTAAAATGACACTTCTGCACTCACTTCTCATTCAAATAATATGAGAAGTGAGTGCAGAAGTGTCGTTTTAGTTTTGAACCAGCGATATGATTACATGGCGTCATGAATACATAGACCAAATATTCAAGAACGAATTCTTTTCAAAATGTAGCTATATTTTCTAAGGACCTGTCCATATTGGAGTAAAGCAACTTTGTTTTTTGTTAATCGATGTATATAATAGAGAAAAAATTTCTGTATATTTTTTCAATTAGGACTTTTTAAAATGTGGATATATGTGCCGATAGAAAAAAAAGTCTATAATTTCCTTCAGTTTCCATAACGCGATCAAAAACTTTTAGATTTGAAA